CCAATCATAGCATCAGAACTCTAAGCAACTGAGAGAGAGTGGGCACCTCCCAGAACATTGTTTTGTGCCACTCCCAACAGAAATACTCCAGGTGGGCGACTTTAGTAATCAGGATCTCCTCAGTTGCTAATAGCAATTCCCACCTTGGAGTTTACAAAGATTTATGGGTAGAAAATCCACACACACCACAGTGGTACAGACTGTTTTTCAGATGAACCTCACTATCATACTGCCCAGACCCTTGCAATAAAGAGACAAAACACTTTAGTTTTAAAGGGATGAACACTAAAATGTGCAGGAAGATAAATGGTACCCAGTAAGAGAGCTTTGACTGAAAGAAAAGTACAGGGGGCATTTCTGGTAAATATCATTGGATCCAGGTACTTGAAAGATGTTATCTCCAAGTGAGTCAGATTTTGCTTTGTTTCTCTTTCTGAAGAAGCAATCCATTCTTCCATTCTTGGTGCCTGGTCACCAGCTTAGCAAACTGAGTACTCAATGGTAGCCTCTTTCTCAGTGTTATGGTTGTTGGGTGCCACTGAGTTGGCCCTCATGGTGACCCCAATGGAATCAGACTGTTGTGACTCATACATAGAGTTTTCACTGACTGATATTTGGGACCACCTGGCCTTTCTTCCTAGTCTGCCATAGTCTGGAAGCTCCACTGAAATCTATTAGCCTAGAAGGTTTCAAGTTCTCCACTAATAGATAGGGGATAAAACCAAAAATCAATTCCACTGCTATCAAGTCAGTTCCAACTCATAGCAACCCCCACTGAGTTTCCAGCCCACTAAATCTTTATGGAAGGAGATTGCCCAGTCTTGCTTCCATGGAGTGGCTGATGGGTTTGAGTCACCAACCTTCTGGTTAGCAGTCAGATGTCTTAGGCACTGTGCTAGCTGTGTATAAAGTACATTGGCCAGCAACTGAACCTGGGCCTCCTATATGCCTACATGGAAAGTAAGAATTCTACCACTGCTCTTTCTTTTGTTGTTATTTTTGGGTGAAAGTTTACAGAGCAAATTTGTTTTCCATTCAATGGTTTATATACATGACAATGATTGTAATCCCTAAAATATAATAGCTCTCTTCCCACTTCCTCCCTGTGGTTACTTGCCTGTGCATTCCTCTCCTGAGTTATCTCCCTGTGCAACTGCTCACCTTCTGATCTGCCATGTATACCAAGAATGTAAAGTGAAGTTTTAGAACACATTTTATTTGAGCTATAAGGATAAGAAGGGAGCTCTGGTAGCATAGTGGCTAAGAAACTTGCCGGCTAACCAGATGGCTGGCAGTTCAAACCCACCAGCGGAAGGAAGGTTGGGCAATCCTACTTCCGTAGTGATACTGCCTCGGAAACCCAAGGAGGGGTCACTATGAGTTGGGTTTGACTCGATGGCACATAACAACAAAGCAACAAAGGATAAGAAGGAAGAGGGGCAAGAGGGAGTTCTTCCTTTAATCAGGAATGTAACTATAAATGCTTTGTCATGTGATAAAGCTCTTTGCTTTCAATTTTCTTTAGGGTGGAAAGAAAGGAACGTGCCCGATTGAAGACGGTAAAGTTTAATGCAAAACCTGGAGTGATTGATTCAAAGGGGGTAAGTACAAAATATTGGAAACATTAAGTTATTTTGGCTGCCAAAATTTTACTATAATTAATGATTAGACTTTCAGTGGTTAACAAAGAATTACTAGACTTTTTTTTTTAATAAATGTTATTTGTAAAAATAGTGGCATTGATGAAGTGAATTTACAGTAAATATATTAAATATATATTAAATAATGGGAGTAAAGCTACTTGTGGTCAGCAGAAACAATGTGTTGATGCACTTGCACTGGCTATAAAAATGACTAATAAAAATGACTATAAAGAAAAAGAAAGAAAAAGATAGCTTAGAGAATTTTGAGAATTTGATATGTTTTTTTAATGTTCTAAAAGGATGGATTTCATCAGGTGTCTGCTTACCAAACCTTTCTAATCTGTTATGCATTATAAAGCTTAAAGCTAAGACAGTGGTCATGAAAAAATACATGTAAATGAATACATGGATTGTTGTGACAGACATAACAAAAAAAGAATTAACAAAGTTTAATCACCAAAGTATTCACACATATATGCACAAGTACAGCTTTTTTCATAGATTTATTTATACCATACAATTCACCCTGTTAAGGTACACAACTCAGTGGTTTTTAGTATAGTCGGCGTTGTGCAACCTTCATCACAGTCAATGTTAGAACATTTTCCTCAGCCCTAGGCAATCCCTAAAGGCAATCCCTAATCTACTTTCTATCTGTATAGATTTGTCTTTTCTGGATATTTCTTATAAATAGAATCGTATACTTTGTAGACTTCTTTGTAGACTTTTGTATATAGACTTTTGTATACTTTGTAGACTTTTATGATTGGCTTCTTTCATATGTTAAATATGTTAAGGTTTATCCATGATCCATGTTGAAGCATGTATCAGCACTTATTAAGTTCTTTGCATTTCCAAATAATATTATTCTGTATTTTATTTACCCATTAGTCAGTTGATGGTAGTCAGTTGAAGTTGATGGACAAAATTGAGTTGTTTCTACTTTTTAGCTAGCTATTATGAATAATGCTACTATCATCAACATTTTTATAGAAAATTTTATATTCCCCTTGCTCATTTTTCAGAATTTTTTCAGAATTCATTATTTGCTTTTTTTTTATTGTTGCATTATTGCATTACAATGATTTCCAATAATTTTTATTTTCTGAATATACATGGATGGATATATAAATGATTTGAAAATATTTTCTCCCATTCTATTTTTAATTTTCTATTTTTAATTTTTACTGTCTTGATGATTCTTGATAGGATTCTTGATAGGCTTCAACGGGCACTATCTTGAATTAATGAACTATTTCATAATCATAACCCAAACAAAGATATCAATATTTTTGTCCATGTTTTTCTTCTAAGAAAATTTTTCTTTCATTTTTTTTTTTTTTTTTGGTGTTTTTGGTGTATGGTATGAGATGATAGGATTTCGTTTCATTTACTGAAACGACTACTATAAAATGACTACTGTATTTTCTCACGTAACATACACAGGTAAATATGATGCACATTGGAAACTAACACATAAGTTATGTTATATCCATTTATGTTATATCCATAAATGTCCCATATTCTTCTCCAATTTCTTCTCCAATGCCTTGTTAACTATTAAATAGCAATTGACCATAGTTCTAAGTTCTATTCTGCTGATCTGTGTAATAAGGAAATAAATTAGGAAGTGTGTCCTCCAAGATTCCTGGATTATATGAATTTTAGGATAAACTTGTTAATTATTTCTACAAGGAATGTTTATTTTATAGGAATGTTTATAGGGATTATAGGGATTACACTGAATCTATAGAATCTATACTAACCCGTAAAATAAAATAAATGTGGGCTGTCTTTCCATTTTAGGTCATCTTCTGCTTTCAGGGTATGTTTTTTTGAGGCTATTATTATATTATTATAAATGATTTTAATTTCAGGTAACTCATTGCAAGTGTAATAATTATTTTTGTAAATAATTATTTTTGTATGTGGATCATGATCCTTATATATATATATATTATAGTGGATTACAAGATTGTACCATATGCATCTTCTACCACCAAGTAATGCTACCTGTGGGTTGTTCAGATTTTAAAACCTATTTTAAACCTATTTTACATGTAACTGATAATACTTTTGTATCTTATTACATATTTTATTTGATAATACTTATAATACTTGTATCTTATTACATATTTTATTAATTACATATTATTTTATTTGTTACATATAAGTATTTTATTATATA